TTCAGTTTCTCATCAATTTCTAATTCACGTTTTTAATATCATTTTATGGATGATATTAAATAGCTTATGCAAGCTTGTAAGAGTTTCTTATCACCTTCTTATTTTGTTTTCAAAAATTTACGGATAAATTTACCAAAATAAGTTCCTTAATCTTATTTGATTATGCTTCATATTCAAGCTTTTTGAATAAACTAGTATCTAATAAATTTAACTTTTTTTTTTTTTATACTTAGAGTGCGTTTGAAAAGATATTTTAATTACCTAAAAGCTTATTTTGTTATCTAAAAAGTTTATTCGATAAAAATAACAATATTTGGTCAAATGACTAAAATGAGTAGTGATTTACTTTTTTATTTTAACATTATTTGTACTAGTATTTTTAAATTTCAGCTACTATGTGAGTTTTTGTCATTTTTATATTATTTTAAAGTAATTTTATCATTACCTATTCAATTTCTTAAACCTTACTCTTTTTTGCCTTTATTATATTAAAAAGAAAGAAAATATGTTACCAATAATAAAAATAAATAAATGTCACAACATTAATTATTTTAGAAAATAATAAGTTGCTAATGCCTTGAAAGTAATTTAACAATATCATCAAATCTTTTTTATAATATTTTTTAATAAATAAAAGTAAAATTAAAAATTTATGTTCCTAATTTTAAGATGATAAATGATTTAAAATGACTTAAAATATAGGACTATATCTTTCTAAAATTTATAATTATTAAATTTTAAATGTTGGTATACTCAGTCTTAATGCTCTTATTTATTACTTTGCATTTAGCAATTGGCCTAACATTTAGTGTTACTAAATACTTTTAACTTAATTAGATAACTTTTAAAGTTTTAGCTATTTTTTTAACTTTCAACTAGTTTTGTTGTTAATCTTGTCAAATGCACTCTAAATAATTATTTGTGCCTTTTAAAAATGTCTATTTGTGAATACCAAACCCAATGCATGTGTGAAAAACAACAACAAATTAGTGATAGATGAATGGAACAACCTTGAGAAGAATGAAATTTTAAATTTTTTGGAGTAAAATTGGTCTGAAATGTGGGATTTATAAACCTTTTTCACAATTACACTTCAAATGTTGCTTTATTTTCCTATTAAACAATGAAAATTACACTCGTTTTCAAAATATTATTTTGAAATGGTATTTATTGAGTACATTAACTCTGTTTTTGGCCTTAAATTTGTTATTTAACCTTTTTTTCAATTTAATTCTGTATTTTTTAATCTTAAAATAGTCCTTTCGTTATGACATGATTAAATCTTGTCAAAATGTCACTGAAAACTATAAATGTTTTTTCTGAATAAATAGTCAAAATTATTAAGAGATCCTTCTAAATACAATATTATGATCAACATATAAAAATTTTGGATATTTTATCAATTAAAATGAGAGATTGAGACATAGAGATTAGTCATCTTTTTTTTCCAATTAATATTAAAATCAATTGAGAGTTTTTTCATTTTGCAAGTAACGTATAAAAACTAGCATAATTTATTTTTTTTTACCAAAATGTCTATATTTTAACAATGATTAGTTGTTTTTTAGAAGAATAAATTAAACAAAATAAATATTAAATGATGAATTAAAAAAAGTTAGAGTACTAAACTATCAAAAAAAAATTTCATTTTTTATGTACTATTTTTTTTATAGAAAAATTAATATTAGTTCATTTGAAATTAATTTTACTAAAACTTAAAACAATTGAATCTTAAATAGTACAAGACAGATATTTGTTTTTTCCCTTTATTTCATATTTACCTTTATTGTTTGGGTATATATGACCCTTTTTCAAATTTTCTTGTCAACGGTTTGTCCACATGATGATGGACACCAAGGGACCATGAAACCATTAAGCTACCCATTAGTCCATTACAATTAAGAATTGGGGTCCCGCAAAACAGAAATAAAAAACCAAACCATTTAGCAATTCTATATTTAAAATTCAAAGCTATCGATGTAGGTGTTAATATTATTATCTGTGCACCTATATTTTACTTTTAATATATATATATATATATATATTATAATAAAATTGTTTAAATTTAACTCTACAATCAAATTTATATTTATTTTAAAATAATAGACTTAATATATTAAATATTATGAGTTTTATATAATTTAAAAAAATTATAAACATAAACATATATTTTTTAATTTATATAAAATAATAAATTTTATTTTTAAATAAATAAATACAATTACTACAACCAGAAATATGTAATTTATATGTTATTTTAAAATGTTTCAAAATTAAAAAATATATGCGACAGACTGTGAAATAATAAAGTATTAAATATTTTATTTTTTAAATAAAGTATTATTATTACCTTGTTTAAATGAGTAAAACTGTTTTTTATTCATAAAAATACTCCAATAGCATTACACATTTATAAAAAAGAGGAGGAGTAAAACTAAATGTTGTTACCAAAATATTTTAAATATTAACACTTATTCTACAATTTAATAAAATGCTACGTGTAATTTATGTAATATTACACTGATGAAAATTTATATATCAAATCTTTTTTATTTAAAATATTATTATATTAAATATCATAAAAAATTATATATAACTTTTCATTATATATAATATTTCATAAATTAAAAGAAATCATCATAATATAAGAGTAAAGATATGAATAAATAAAAAAATTAAAGATAAATAAGAGAAGTATTTAAATTATTACGTCATTATTCATCTTGACATGGTTGGATTTACTCGAAGAAATGTTCAAAGCCAATTAAAGTGCATAGTACGAATTCCGATCGGTACTGTTAAGTAAAATCCAAATTAAAAATTGAACATACATCACCAAACATATGACTTTATTGTAGTTTTAAAAATCCAACGTACCCAAAGTAACTCACATGTTTGACTACTTCTTAAACTTGTTTTTATGATCATAATTGATATTTAAATGTGTATTACACTTGAGATGTGAGTAATAATTAAATTGATTTTTTTATTAGAATAACATAATTTTAAAAAGTATTTATTATAATAAGGTAGTTTAATAATAAATTTATTATGCATAATAAACAATATCTTATAATAGAATTTGACACGTGACAATTTTAGTTATGTGGAGTAGGTGCAAGAGATGACACAAATGCAAGTTGCAACACGTGGTAAATAATTATTGAAAAGGGTAAATAAGGCTTGTTGAGAGGGTGTCACTGACATGGCAACGACACGTGGCAGTCACAAGGCTGTCAAGTTTGGTGAAGACTGAAGAGGCACCGCTATTGCAATTGCCACTTGTGGAAGGGACTCACCTCATTCAACATTCCAAAATCGAAACTTAAAATTATGTGAAATAAATATATATTAGTGACACAATTTTTTAATATATTTCTTATTATTAATTACAATTTATTAAAAAAGTATCTCATTTCACTTTCATTTTTTATCTTCTATCTAGAAGCATTGTGGTGATTATTAAGTTCTACCACCTTTTATTTTTCAAGTAAGTGGTTTCTTGTTTTTTTTTTTTTGTGTGTGTTTCAAAAAAAAATTATGAAAGAGATAAAAAAATTTAAAGTTTCCATAAAAACTAAAAAATATTATAATATAAAAATATAATTATGCGTGTCAATGTTTTCAAATTTAAAATTAATTTATATTATTTTTATATTTTGTTATTATTTTTTGAAAATCTACCTTACTAAATTGTCATTACAACCTAAGATTATAAAAATGTAAAATTGTATCCATACTAGTTTGCATTTTGAGGATTAACCTAGTGTTTGAGAGAAGTATGAGAAAATAACTCTCATTTGAAGACTATTTTTTTCCCATTCCTTTCTTTTATCCACGTTACCTATTGTTTAAGGACATTAAAAAAATGACAAGTGATTTATTACATATTAAATAGAAGGTAATCTGTACCAACGGGTGGTTAATAAAAAAAAACAAATTATTAAGTTCAAGTGTTATATATTTTTTTTTAACATAATTTATCTCATTATGTTATAAATATTTTTTATCAAAACAAAATTACTTTTTATAAAAAGATTCTTATAATTCTATAACATTCTTAAATGAGAGCATTTTAAAAATTCTCTTAATCGATAATATTTTTAAGAATTAAATTATTTTTTTATTATATTTTGTGATTTATTTTTTATTGCATTAAATATTTAAATTTTAATTTATCTTAATTAATTTTTCATAAACTTTTAAATTAAAAACTATTTTTTTAGAATACAGTAAAATATTTATCATTAATAATTAAATAGTTATTTTTAAAACTTATAAATATATCTTTTATTTTTTAAAATATTTTAATTTAATAATATTTGTGAAATATACAAAAACTTACTTGTAAAAGAAAAAGTAGCTTGTGAGATTCAACGCTTGTTATTAGTTTTGGCAGAATGCCATAATATTTATGAGTTTAACCAAAAGACAGAGCTAGGACTCAAGAAGACAAATCTCAGTAACATATTAACAGAGAGTAACAACTATTTTAGACGTATCCAAAAAATTTATAAAAGACGTATTTGTATTTTTAGTTTGTATACTTTAATATATATTTACTTTTAATTTTTTTACAGTTTTAAATGTTAATAATTTATTTTTTAAAATTTAAAGTAACAGAGGTGTGATATTTTTTATTTACAACAATAAATATATATAATATTTAATAAAAAATACAAAATATAATAAAAATTAAATTTTAGAATATAAAACTAAGTTTAAACATTCAAAAAATTAGAGAAATTAAATTAAAAAATTAAAATTAAGAGAAATAGCACACGTATAAAGCATATGAATTGAAAATGCAATTAAGTCTTTATAAAAATAAATTATAATTTTTATAATTTTCACATTTAATTTAATATTTTTAAATATAATTTCCCGAATAAAGTATTTAAATTTATTTTAGAACCTGTTAAAATAAAATACAAAAAAATATATTTTAGACAGTGCAAAATTATTGAATGAAAACTTGATTAAGGCGTATTTATGAACACATCGTGAATATGATTAAAAAAATTGGAGCTTTTATTTGGGGAAGAAATTCTGTAGAAGTAGAAAACATGGTTGTGGATGATATAATAAGGTGCATCATCGTCGGCTATGGTGCTTCCTCTTCTTCTGGATTCTCCGATGCTTATCCTGAAAGGTAATCTTTGAAGATCTTCCTCTCTCTTTCAAACACTTATATCTCTTATGGATTTCATCGTTTTGATTCAGTTCTCTTCCCCTGATTTTCGAGGGTTTCTGGAGATACCAAGATTAGGATTAAATATCATTCCCCTTTAGCGTTTCGGAAATCTCTTCCTCTCTCCTAGAGATTGAAGAGATATCACTCTGTGTGTGTCTGGGTTATATATTGTTGTTGTTCTTTAGGTTTATTTATTATTTTTTAATTTATAAAGAAAATAGAGAAATTGTTATCTTCAAACAGGTTGGATTTGTTGATATTTTTTCCTCTTCAATTCAATTGATAAATCTAGGGGTTTGATGGAGGGGGGGGGGATCTAGTGGGGATTGATACGGCGAAGCTGTTTATAAGGTTGTTTTGTTGAATTGTTTTTGGGATGGCAACATTGAATCGTTCAGAAAAAAAATTCATTAACGAGATGAGGTAGAATGGGCGATTCTTGTCTTGCTTTTTTGTCGATGGAGAATCATCAACCCTCCACGCTTTTGTCAATGGACTCAAGTGCATCTTCTCATGAGGAACTGGATTTGGAGATGAATCGCCAAATCATACCCTCAGGTCCACCGGATATCAATCTGCCGCTTTCTGCCGAGTGCAGCCCGCCTCCACAGCCGTGGAATGCTGACCCTTGTGATATTTTGGATGTTGGTCTTGGAACTCAAGGGTATGAGACTGAGAGTTTTCTCAATCTGCCCAAAGCTGGTAGGAAGTGTGCAAAGCGAGTTGATAGCAAATGGGGTGCTTGGTTTTTCTTCAGTTTTTACTTTAAGCCTTCTTTGAATGATAAATCTAAGGCCAAGATTGTCAGGGACAGCAACGGTGTTTCAGGGTTCGATAAATCTGATCTCAAGCTTGACGTTTTCATGGTTCAACACGACATGGAAAACATGTACATGTGGGTTTTCAAGGAGAGGCCTGAGAATGCGTTGGGTAAGATGCAGCTGAGGAGTTACATGAATGGACACTCTCGTCAGGGGGAGCGCCCGTTTCCGTTTAGTGTTGACAAGGGTTTTGTTCGGTCCCACAGGATGCAACGGAAGCATTATCGAGGGCTATCAAATCCTCAGTGTGTGCATGGCATTGAGGTTGTTGCTTCACCCAATCTGATGGCCCTTGATGAGGATGATCGGAAAAGGTGGATTGAACTCACTGGCCGTGATTTGAATTTCACAATCCCACCTGAGGCAAGCGATTACAGTTCATGGAGAAATCTTCCCAACACAGACATTGAGCTTGATAGACCACCTCCCCCAATCAAGGGTGGTCCAAATGCACACCCGAAGAAGCTGCTTAATGGATCTGGACTGAATTTGTCAACTCATCTGTCTAACCACAGCAATGGTGATGGGTTGGACCTATCTCCTGTCAGCGGCAAAAAGAGGAAGGACTTTTTCCCTCATGGAAATGACGAAGAATGTTACTTGGCTGTTAATCCTCCATCTGGTCAGATTACTGACATAGAAATGCACCCGAGTGAGCCACACTGGTTGAATGACTTCAGCGGGGTGATAAAGAGTGTTTATGGACCTGTTACAGCTGCAAAAACTATATATGAAGATGAACAAGGTTATTTGATTATTATCAGCCTGCCCTTCGTAGATCTTCCAACTGTGAAAGTTTCGTGGAGGAACACTCTGACTCATGGTATCATAAAGGTTTCTTGTATGAGCACATCTCGGAAACCTTTTATCAAGAGACACGATAGAACATTCAAGCTTACAGATCCATCATCAGAGCACTGCCCTCCTGGAGAATTCGTCCGTGAAATTCCTCTTTCAACTCGAATTCCTGAAGATGCCAACATAGAAGCATACTATGATGGTCCAGGATCAGGGCTTGAGATCGTGGTGCCAAAGCATCGCGTGGGACCAGAAGAGCATGAAGTTCGTGTATGCCGTCGCCCTCATCTGGGAGGGAATGATCTTATGTTAACTTAAGATAGGCACTTATAAAAAAGAATTGTTAGGGATTCCAGTATGGTGCGTATGTCATTGTTTTTCTAACCATACAGTGTTATTTTCAGTACAATTGTGTGTCTTACATTTGTCTCTAGCAATTTTAGCTCACTGACCGCCCTGGTTCTTTTTTTGTTCCGGTGCATATTTATGCTTTTAATGGAAGCAAGTATTGAACAGCTAGTTCTCATCATTTACATGAAATTATCAAGTCATACCTTTGGAATAGTTGATTGTTCCATTTCTATTCTTTCTTAGATTCTCATTTTTAACCTGTCACTCTGAACCCTCTTATTTTTGGGTAGAATGTTATCAGAGAAGAATTTAGGTTCGCCACCACGAGTATCTGTTCTTGAGGATATATCCTGCAATTGCAATATTACAAGGGTCAATAGGAAACAATTTCTTGAAAGAAATTTTATTATTTTTATATTAATTTTTTTATCTTTTAAAGATTTTTCTAAAATTTTAACTAACAGTTTATTAGATAATTTTATTTTAATATCTAATATGTATTTTAAAATACAAATAAATGTTGATTATAAAACAACATATTTGATTTATCTAAGACTTAATATATATATGATTATCATATATTACTTTTAAGTCTTTTGACATTTATACTTGTTTTAAATCTTATTATAATATAAAAGTAACAATAGCAATAAATAAATAGAAGTGTTTAAATTCTTACGTCCTTATTTATTAGCTTACATTTTATGATTTTGTTAATATTAATATTTACTGTTAATTTTGCGTATTTTAAAATAATAATTAAGTTTTCATTAAAAAAACATTTATATTTAAAAAATTAATATAAAATTTTTATATACTAGTTTTTGAATAAAAATTATTTTTGTTATTTAAATTAACCCTAAAAATTAGTATTTTTTTTTTATATTTTGTGATATGTTTATGTATGAAGAGTTTAAAATTAGTAATATATTCTTTTGCAAAACCATGTTTTCAAATAATAAATTGCATTATCCTCAGTAATAAATATTTAAAAAAATTATTTTAAAAGATTATACTCTCATCTCTTAAGTAATTAATGTATAGTATATTTCAGTATTTTTAATGTAAAAAGGGTTTCTCAAAGATATTTTTTCTTCATTAGCCTCAATATTATTTATAATTAATTTTGAGCACCAATTATTGGCATTATAACTTTAATATATTTATAAATATTTTGGATAAAGTTTCAAAGTTATTAATAAGAGAATACAATATGTTATTATATTTTGAATTCTTAAAATTAATTATTAAATAGTTACTATCAAATTTTAAGAATACCAAAATTTTTAAAGAAATGAAAATATTTTTTTATTACTATTTATTATCATTAAAATTTTTGTTTAAATAAAATAATTAAAATGCAATATGTTCTTCTCTAAGAAGAATTAATAATATTTTTAAAAACGATTTTTATACTTACGATAATGGTTAATAACGGCACTTTAAAATCAAGAAAAAAACACAATTTACATATTTCTAAAGAAAAGGTATAATTTATTAAAATGATTTTTTTTTTTTGTGTGGATTAAGAAAAAATGGTGTTTTTTTAAGAAATAATGATGAATAAATGGAGGTGGGTCAAACAGGGCCCGGTTCACTATCAATGCAGGCTTTAACCTACGGAACAGTGAGATGGTTCATCACGCTTCTCCTTCTTCCACACTTCATTTTCATTTTTTTTATTTTTTTTTTTTTGCTTTCTTCAAAACTAAAAATAGAAACATAGGAAGAGCTTAGGGTAGAATTCAATGGTATGGATGATATGATGGAGACGAGCATCATCTTAGCTAATGCTCCTTCCTATGCTTCATTTTTCGATGCTCATCCCCGGAGGTACTCCTTAAAAATCTCCTTCATTTTTTGAGAATTCATAATATAAGATAGGATTTTCATTATTATCTTGTTAGGTTTTATTTTTGTTTTATTTTAGTGGGCTTTCGAGAATTCTGTTATCTTGTTAATAAATTAGGGTTTTTTTATATAAAAAAAATTGTAATGGAGGGGTTGATACTGTTGTGGGCATTGATATGATTGATGATGGTGTTTATAAGGTTGTTTTGTTGAATTGTTTTTGGAATGGCAACATAAATCGTTCAGAAGAAAACCTCAACAACATCAAGCAAATGATGTAGTACAATCCAATGGGTGGTTCACTTCTCACTTGTTGTTTGTCAATGGAGAATCATCACCCATCCACACTCTTGTCCATGGATTCAAGTGCGCCTTCTTCTCATGAAGAACTGGATTTGGATATGAATGGAAAATTCGTACTCTCAGGTCCACCTGATATCAATTTGCAACTCTCGGTGGAGCGTAGTCCCCCTCTACATCCATGGAATTCTGACCCCTGTGAAAATATGTTAGATGTTGGTCTTGGTACTCAAGGATGTGACACTGAAAGTTTCCTCCAACTTCGCAAAGTTGGAAGGAAATGCGCCAAGCGAGTTGATAGCATATGGGGTGCTTGGTTTTTCTTCCGGTTTTACTTCAAGCCAGCATTGCTTGAAAAATCCAAGGCCAAGGTTATTAGGGACAGCAATGGTGTTTCAGGGTTTGATAAATCTGATCTCAAGCTTGATGTTTTCATGGTTCAACATGACATGGAAAACATGTACATGTGGGTTTTCAAGGAGAGGCCGGAGAATGCATTGGGTAAGATGCAGCTGAGGAGTTACATGAATGGGCATTCCCGACAAGGGGAGCGCCCGTTTCCATTTAGCGTTGACAGGGGTTTTGTACGATCCCATAGGATGCAGCGGAAGCATTATAGAGGACTTTCGAATCCCCAGTGTGTGCATGGCATTGAGGTTGTTCCATCGCCCAATCTTATGAGTCTTGATAAGGATGAGCAGAAAAGGTGGTTTGAACTCACTGGCAGAAATTTGAACTTTACTATCCCTCCTGAAGCAAGTGACTTTAGTTCGTGGAGGAATCTTCCTAGCATGGACTTCGAGCTTGAGAGACCACCTCCACCAATCAAGAGTGTTCCAAATGCACACCCAAAGAAGCTGCTTAATGGATCTGAGCTAAATTTGTCAACTCATCTGTCTAACCTCAGTAATGGTGATGGGAATGACCTATCTACTATTGGCAGCAAGAAAAGGAAGGACTTTTTCCTTTATGGGAATGGAGAAGAATGTTACTTGGCTCCTAATCCTCCATCTGATCCAATTCCAGATTTGGAAATGCATCGACGCGAACCACGTTGGTCGAATGATTTTAGCGGGGTAATGAAGAATGTTTGTGGACCTGTTACAGCTGCAAAAACTGTTTATGAGGATGAACAAAGTTACTTGATCATCATCAGTCTACCTTTTGTGGATCTTCCTAGTGTGAAAGTTTCATGGAGGAATACTCTGACTCATGGTATCATAAAGGTTTCTTGTGTGAGCACGTCTCGCAAGCCATTTATCAAAAGAAATGATAGGACATTCAAGCTTACAGATCAATCATCAGAGCACTGCCCTCCTGGAGAGTTTGTTCGTGAAATCCCACTCTCAACTCGAATTCCTGAAGATGCCAATATAGAAGCGTATTATGATGGGCCAGGATCAGTGCTGGAGATCATGGTTCCAAAACTTCTTCCGGGACCAGAAGAGCATGAAGTTCATGTTTGCCTTCGCCCTAATCTGGGTGGGAATGATCTCATGTTGACTTGAGTTAAGCTCTTGCTAAATTATTGGGGTTGCTGGCATGGTTCTTTATTCATTTTTCTGCTAACTTTGTACCGTACAGTATTTTATATAATACAAATGTGCGTCTTACAATTGCCTAATCAATTTATTTTTTTCTTACCAATTGTGCTGGTATTTTGTGCTCTTGGCCGCTATTTGGGAGAGCTTATAAATAACTTATAGCTCTCATATGTTGTTTTCAGCTTATTTAAGTAAATTTCTTGGTATAGCTTATCAAAATAAGTTGTTTTCAACTTACCTCAAAAAAATTTATTATTAAATTTAAGGCATAAGCTATCGAATTAAAGAGTTTATTAAACAAGTGCATAAATAATCAGTTATCCAAATGTACCCCCTATCTTGCGTCCATTCCACAATCCTGATCACCTACATATTAAATCTTTCCCTACAGTATATTCTGGATTTGCCTGAGGTCTTTTGCTTCAGAATAATCAGCTATTTATAAATAGTATAAATAGCTATGTTCATGTTCAAAAATTAAAATTTTACTTCTTTTTCTTTTCGTTTCCCCTCTCCTGCAGTTCCTCCTCCCTTATTAGTCCTGTCTCCTCCTCCTAGAGTTCCTACTTCAGCTTTTCTTCTTCTCTTTTTTCTCTTTCAACTTTCTTAAGTTCCTCCACTTCTCTCTCTCAACCTCTTTCCTCTCTTCTTGTTCTCTTTTTCTTATATTTTTTTAAAAAAATAAATTATTTTCGTTTATGTGAAAATAAAACAGTTGAATCTCTCTCCTCAGATACCGGATTCATTTAATTTCTGTAACTATGTATTCGAGTCGGACTATCAGGGTCGCACACATAAATATTTTATGCATTGTTGAAAAGTATCTATTTCGATTTTACTTTTCAAAGACTGCGGTGACAATTTAGTAATAGTCTCACTGAAGTCTACATACAGTATTCTGTTGATCATTTAATTGATAATTCAATTCGTTTTACTTATGCCTGAGCACCGCCTTGTTTGTTTCAACATTATTAGGTTAAATACTGCAATGCTGCTTTATTAGCTAATAACCACATTTCTGTCGGTTTTGTATATATCATGATCATGAAAAACTTTGTTCTTTGCTGCATTTCGCATCATTAATAATTTGCACAAAAACTTGCACTTCAAAACAGGAGTCATAGTTTGGCTCATTTAATTGGATTCTTGCACGTGTCTACAAGTCTTAGGCTCCTGGGAGAGTTTGCTGTGTTCTGTTCTCAAAGATTTTATTTTAAATGGAATCAAATTATACTATTTTTCAGAATTGAGCACATGAATCAACTAACGTGTTTAGCTTAACCTATAGATTTGAGTCTGTGGTACTAGACTAAAAAAATTGTACCATTTTTCTAATCGTATGTCCTTGGATAGTTTATTGTGTTCTGTTTCCAATGTTTTTATTTTTAACGGAATCAATTATACCATTTCTCTAATCTTATATCTCATTTTGTTCGTTTCTAAACGTAAATCAAACATAAATCAAAACTGTTATGTTATATCACTTTGTAACATGGATTTCCCTTCAATAGGAAAACACTGAAAACGTTTTTTCATCTTGAGGCACATCAAATGAAATGATTCTAAACACAAAATGACACTAATTATTTGCCAAAAATAGCAAACGAGCAATTATTAAACCAGATTCTATCTTATAAATGGTTAACCGGAGTTTCACCGCTAGAAAATCAAGGAAAACTATATTCCATTAAAAAAATTGGACTCCCTGAAAACTATGGCATCTTTTAATTCTTTGCTTAAGATAAAAATACTGGCCCAAGGAGGTCAAATTAAAAATTTGACATTGAAAAGATTAAGAAATGCAAAATTGATGCTTTACAGTTAAGCCATCCCTCTCCTTAATGTACTAAATACTAAAGACATGCAAAATTCCATAATATTGAAAATACTTGTTAAAAGTTATATTTCAATTTTAACACTAATAAACATCTGTCACTGAAACCTTTCTCCAACCAACTTACACATTTATTATAATAAATATTTATAGAACATTAATTTAATACTTTAAAAAATTATGATTAAATAAATTATTTAAAGGTTTAAATAATTTTTTGTACTATTTAATATTTAAAGAAAAAATTATTAATGTTATTGACTCTATATATTATATTTTTATTTACGAAAACATAAATTTATTTGATTTGTTTAACCAATTTCTTTTATCATTTTTGTTTTTTACTTTTACAATAGTATTTTATAACCAGATCTGATTTTTTATTAACATAACATTATAGTAGTTTCTGGATGTTTAATTTATATTTTATGGTTTTATTTTATAAAATTATTTAAGATTTTACCTAATAGATTATGAAAAGTGAAGGTTATAACAAATAAAATATAATAACAAATTTTAAAGGAATAAAATAAAAAATACCGACAAACTTCCCTCATTTTAACATATATTATTGATATATAATTACTAAATCATACTATTAATCTCAATCTATATAATTACAGTAATAATTATTTACCAAAATATTTTTTAGAATATTTTTCGTGTTAAAATGTTATTATAATATTTTAATTCTTTATTCATATACTTTTTATAAAGATTATAACTTAATGATTTTATTATTATTCATTTTTTTATGGTATTATTTTATCAACATTTTTATTTTATAATAAAAATCATGATTAACATACAATACAAATAATTTTTTATTTTAACGATTGTAATTAACTTACTATTGTTTCTTGTTTTTAGACTATTATATAATGATTTTCAACTTTTAAGATTATAAAAAGTAATTTTTATTATTAAATTATCATTATCACCCAAAGGACTCACTTGACTAAAAATTTTGCCAAAGTAACTGTAGCATACGTATATTTATTATTTTAAAAAATAACATGATTAAAATCCGCTTCTAAACTACAAAATAGGACATTGTTAAATACTCCATTTACAATTCATAACAGTAATATTTAGTATAAACTATATGGGTGGTAATAAATACGGTTTCAAATAAAATTGATGAGTTTCAAAATTAAATGCTTATTTTTATACGAGATTACCAATGTTGATAACATCCATTGAACATGCGATATTCAAATATGTCAGATTGTCAGTAGATGGATGCCCGAAGCTGTAGCAGCATAAAAGAAACCACATATAAATAACTTGGTAAACAATCAAACATGCACATAACTAATTAAAGCCTAAAAGGCCTGAATCTGATAAAACCACACAAAAAAGTAACATGACGCTAATAATCAAAACATACAACATACTGCAAAATATAGTCTTTTTTTATGGAACAAAATGTCAAACAAAAACCATTAAATTTGACTTTGAAAATAGATAATAATCTAGCAGAAATATACTGAAAATTTAGTCTACTTCCTCAATCTTTGGGCCAGCACCGCTTCCACCAGTAGGAACGTCGTCATCCATAGCACCTCCAACGTCTGGGCCAGCACCACCCTGGTACATCTTGGCAATAATAGGGTTGCAGATGCTTTCCAATTCCTTCATTTTGTCTTCAAATTCATCTGCCTCACCAAGTTGATTGCTGTCTAGCCACTGGATGGCCTGCTCGATAGCATCCTCAATCTTCTTTTTGTCAGCCGGATCAAGTTTCCCTCCAATCTTCTCATCCTTCACGGTATTCCTCATGTTGTATGCATAGTTCTCCAATGCATTCTTTGCCTCTACCTTCTTCTTATGCTCTTCATCTTCAGATTTGTACTTCTCGGCCTCTTGAACCATCTTCTCAATCTCTTCCTTTGACAATCTACCCTTGTCATTGGTAATGGTGATCTTATTCTTTTGGCCAGTAGTTTTATCTTCAGCAGAGACATTCAAGATACCATTGGCATCAATGTCAAAGCACACTGTAATCTGAGGAACACCCCTTGGTGCAGGCGGAATGCCTGAGAGCTCAAACTTTCCCAGCAGATTGTTATCTCTGGTCCTTGTCCTCTCACCTTCATAAACTTGGATCAACACTCCGGGCTGGTTGTCAGAATAGGTTGAGAAAACCTGCTCTTTCTTCGTTGGGATTGTAGTGTTCCTTGGGATCAGGACTGTCATCACACCCCCAGCAGTTTCCAACCCAAGAGAGAGTGGGGTAACATCAAGCAGGAGAAGATCCTGAACCTTCTCATTGCCCTCACCACTCAAGATAGCAGCTTGAACAGCAGCACCATATGCCACCGCCTCATCAGGGTTAATGCTCTTGCAGAGCTCTTTCCCATTAAAGAAATCCTGTAGAAGTTGTTGAACCTTGGGAATTCTAGTGGAACCACCAACAAGCACAACATCATGGACAGATCTCTTGTCCATTTTAGCATCTCTCAAACACTTCTCAACTGGTTCCATGCACTTGCGGAAGAGATCCATGTTGAGCTCCTCAAATCTGGCACGGGTAATGGGGGAGTAGAAATCAATTCCCTCATACAGAGAATCAATTTCAATGGTGGTTTGAGCAGTAGAAGATAGAGTTCTCTTAGCCCTCTCACAAGCAGTCCTCAACCTCCTAAGAGCTCTAGGGTTGCCACTGATATCCTTTTTGTTCTTTCTCTTAAACTCTTGAACAAAATGATTCACCATCCTGTTATCAAAATCCTCACCTCCGAGATGGGTGTCCCCAGCTGTGGCTTTCACCTCAAAGATACCCTCTTCAATGGTAAGCAAAGAGACATCAAAAGTACCACCACCAAGGTCAAAAATCAAGACATTCTTCTCACCAACACTGGTGGCTTTCTTGTCAAGACCATAAGCAATGGCTGCGGCAGTAGGCTCATTAATAATTCTCATGACATTAAGACCAGCAATGACACCAGCATCCTTGGTAGCTTGACGTTGAGAATCATTAAAGTAAGCAGGGACAGTAACAACAGCATTCTTGACTGTAGAGCCAAGATAAGCTTCAGCAATCTCACGCATCTTCATAAGTACCATAGAAGAGATTTCTTCTGCAGCAAACTGCTTCTCTTCACCCTTGTAGCTGACCTGAATCATTGGCTTATCACCGGGTCCAGCAATGACCTTGAAAGGCCACAATTTAATATCACTCTGGACAGAGGCATCAGTGAATCTACGACCAATCAATCTCTTAGCATCTGCAAGA